AATCTATCAGGTAACGTGTCAAAGCGTCAGTTCACTGCTTCAATCTTTCACTTTCACGCTTATACTTAGTAATTTCAGCGAAAACCTCAGATACTGTTGGTTGTTTCCTGTTGGTTGTGCACCTTTTTTTCTAAGTTTGTCAATGCCATTATAACGACACAGATCACTCTGCCTATTCATGCCAGAGGCCCACAGAAAAAGTGATTGACAGGTGGTAAACATTAATTTGTGTGTAGCTTATCTTTATTTATTTGTGATTTGGTTACGGGTAAAACAAAGACCATGCAGGTCAGGTAGTTGAAATGGTAGGCTACAAATAATTAATTTGTTATGAATTAATGAATTATTCATAAATAATTAATTCACCTCCACCTATGACGCCGATGCCATCGTCTATCGCGATGTTTCACTTTAGATCTTGTACGATGCCAAATTGGTCGACATTGCCCAACCCTTCTACTTGGCTTAAGTACCGTTTTTCATATATTATATAGTATGGAGTATATACATTAATATGCGATTTCAGATACATTGAGCGACTGCATTCATCTTTCACTTTATAAAAACAGATAAAACAGACCTTTTACACTTTATACTGTACACTAGGGCTGTGCAATATAATCAGTCCCTCCAGAATTTGGAGAAAAATGCCTTACTCTGTTAAATATCATTTGAAAAATATTTGAAAAAAAAAAATTCATTTTAACTTCAACTATTTAAAATACTAATTAAATAATTTACATAAACTGTACTATATTGATATAATGTTGAAGTCAGAATTATTAGCCCCCGTTTATTTTTTCCATAATTTCTGTTTAACAGAGAGATTTTTTCAACACATTTCTAAACATCATAGTTTAATAACTCATTTCTAATAGCTGATTTATTTTATCTTTGCTGTGATGACAGTAAATAATATTTGACTAGATGTTTTTCAAGACACTTCTATACAGCTTAAAGTGACATTTAAAGGCTCAACTGGGTTAATTAGGTTAAGTTATTGTATAATGATGGTTTGTTCTGTAGACTATCAAATAAAATATAGCTTAAATGGGCTAATAATTTTGTCCTTAAAATATATATATTTTTAAATAAAAGCTGCTTTTATTCTAGCCGAAATAAAACAGATAAGATATTCTCCAGAAGAAAAAATATTATCAGACATACTGTAAAAATTTCCTTGTGCGGTTAAACATAATTTGGGAAATATTTAAAAAAGAATTTCAAAAGGGGGCTAATAATTCTGTCTTTAACTGTTTATATCGTTATCAGTATATGAGATTAGATGTCATATCACCCAGCCCTGCTGCACACTTCATAAAAAAACATTATAGGGGCACTTTAAAAAAGACCCACTCCATTCTTTCTTTAGCCCATTTTCGACCGACAGTCTGTTTACCTGCGCAAGCCAGATTTAGCATCAGGCAGGAAGTGACTGCGGGGATGGAGACACCCTGCAGTTCCTCCAGGTGTCATGACACAGTATCAGCGTCTGAGAGCTTGAGCTGGTCAGATGGGACGGGGTGGTGGGATCTGCAGGTTTTCTGGGATCTGATTCAGGTCACGGTGTGGCTCATGGATTTGCCAATGTTTAGACTGTATCCTTCGTCACTTCGCCAAGAGGTTGGAGCACAGCTGAAATCACTCCCATGATCCCACTGGGATTTAAACTCCTCACCTGGAGACATACGCAATGTAGAGTAGAAGATTGGCTGTCTGTGTGCAGTGAATAAAAAGCTGTTTTAAAAATCTTATATAACCAGACATATAACTCGAGGCACGCTGAGTGCAAAAAGCTTAATTACATTGATGTGTTCAAGTAAAAAATAAAATAAAATACACACATACGAAGAAGACTAAAACACTGCACAAAACCAATGTCTGCTTGTTCAAACTGCTTGTTTAAAATGAGTTGAAACAACACAATTCTTGAGACTTTTTTGGGACAACTTAATCGTTTATGTTCAATTTATATTTAATTATGTATTGATTGGACTCACCAAGCTTGCATTTGTTTGGTCCAGAGTGCAGCAAACCCCATAAAATCTTTAAAAGTTTTTTTATTTCTCCATAAAATGTTTAAATATCCAGTGAGCTGCAATTCTGTGGGTGCAAATGCCTTGTTGATGCCAGAGGTCAGAAGAGAATGGCCAGGCCTGTTCCAGCTGATAGAAAGGCAACAGTAACTCATATAACCACTCGTTACAACCAAGGTATGCAGAAGAGCATCTCTGAAAGCACCTTGAGGTGTTCAACCTTAAGGCGGATGGGCTACAGCAGCAGAAGACCACACCGGATGCCACTCCAGTCAGCTAAGAACAGGAAACTAAGGCTACAGTTCACACAGGCTCACCAAAAATAGACAATAGAAGATTAGGAAAATGTTATCTGGGTCTCAATTTCAACAACATGAAAGCATAGATCCATCCTGCCTTGTATCAATGGTTCAGGATTAAGGCAGTTCTGAAGGAAAAAATGGGGTCCAACCCAGTACTAGTAAGGTGTACTAATGTACTGGGTGTGTCTTTAGAAACAGGGTCAGGAAACACTGTTCTAGACTATGGCATCTATCACAAGAACAAAATCAAGTTTTTTTTTTACATACTCCTTTGACCATGAGCTGAAATTCACAGTCTGTGAGCAGAAGTCAGTGTGTGTGTGTGTGTGTGTGTGTGTGTGTGTGTGTGTGTGTGTGTGTGTGTGTGTGTGTGTGTGTGTTTGTGTGAGTGTGTGGATTTGAGAAGACGGGGAGGTGAAGTGAAGCAAGTGCGATGGACAGATCTGGAGCAGATTAAGGGATGGATGTGTCTTTGATGCACAGTGACAGGCCTGCTTAAGATGGGCATTAATACAGAAGTGTGCAATGATCAAAACGGCCGCTCTCTGAACCCGAGTGAGAGCTCACTGCATTACAGCTCATCAAAAGTCTGCATTTACATTACCGGTCAAAGGTGTGGGATCAGTACAAGCAGGGATGGGCAAAAATACATTGAAATGTATTTTAATAAATAAAATGCCAAATACCTTAATTTTACTTGTATCAAAATAAAACTACAAAATGCAGCAGCCACAATTGTATAAAAACAAAATACTGTATTTTAAAAAATACAACTAAATGCTTTTTCAAGGAACCATATAGGGAATATCTTCGCTAGCCTTCAACCAATAGGCATATTCGATCAATCCCTTCATCATTAAACTGACTTTCCTTTTCATTTTGGCATGCATTTTGTGCAAATTTCATACAGAAAGTCCTGTCTTGAAGATGATCTCTTTATGTAAAAACCCATCTAAAGCAGATAATGAGTTGGAAATATATACTATATCTCTTGATTGTGTTTCCATCCATTGTGTAGCCAGTGAAATCTCTTAACAGTCTTATATTTTAAAAGGGTGATAATTGAAGAGAGTTTTCTTTTTTGTTTTATGGATGTAATTTTTTATTGAAATCTTGAACACTTAATGTAAAAACATGATTTCAGAAAACTGGTGCTGTGGATGGCGGAGGGGTGTCGCAAACGTAAGTGAGTGGAGTGGGGGTGTCGTGGACGAAAGTGAACTGGGTTGAGGAGTCGCGGAAGAAAGTGAAAGTAAACAGCGGATGGAGGATCAGGGAGGTTGAGGAGGGGGATCGGTAAATCGACTGGGGATCCAGCGTTTTCTAGCACAAATTAAGCCCTTTACAATTATATATATATATATATATATATATACATACATACACACACATATATAGATGTGGCCACTGGGACTGCACAAGTGACTGAAGGTGACCACACGCAATCATGCAGTGTTACGTGGTACTACATAAAATGGTCTAACAAAAGAAAGACATGACCAGCAGGGGGCAGTTATGTAACATAGTGAACATACTGAACTGATATAGGAGCGCACACATTAAGAACCACAAAGGAAATTTAATAGGCTAATCATGATTGTCTCATCAATAGTACCATGAGGTTTTTTTCTGATGGTTTGTTCACTGAGAAGTACATTTTCAAAATGTTGTGGATCAACTAAATCACAATTTAAAAACGTTTATATATAAAATATTTAACAATAAAGACATTTTTTTAAATATTTCAAATATTTAAGTAAAGTCAATATTATTAGGCCCTTCGGCACTGTGGCTCAGGGGTTAGCACTGTCGCCTCACAGCAAGAAGAACGCTGGTTCGAGCCTCAGCTGGTTCAATTGGCATTTCTGTGTGGAGTAAGCATGTTCTCCCCGTGTTCACATGGGTTTCCTCTGGGTGCTCCAGTTTTCCCCAAAGTCCAAAAACATGCGCTATGGGTGAATTGGGTTATCGAAATTGTCTGTAGTGTATGTGTGCGTGTGTGTGTGTGTGCATAAATGTATGGGTGTTTCCCAGTACTGGGTTGCAGCTGGAAGGGCATCCACTTCGTAAAACACATGCTGGAATAGTTAGCGGTTCATTCCGCTGTGGTGATCCCTGTTAAATAAGAGACTGAGCTGAAGGAAAAAAATTATTATTACCCCATAATATTTATTTTTGTTGCCTACATAACTTGTCCCATGACTTGATTTATTAACCAAACTTGCCTAGTTAACCCATTTATGTTCTATCATCATGACAAAGATAAATAATTTAGTTATTAAAATGATTATGTTTAAAAGTATATTACTAAAATCTCTCTGCTAAAAGCACATGGAAATACATTTTTTCATAGGAGGGCTTGTATTTTTGTATAATTTAACTATATGCAAAAGGAACAGTTGTATTAAATTGTAACAATATTTAACAATTATACAGTTAATACTGTATTTTTGATCAAATAAATGCAGCAGTGGAGAGCAAAATAGATTTACTATAAAATCTCAGATCCACAAATGTGCCCACTAAAGCACGAGTAAAAAAGGCCATTAGGATTGTTCTGTAGCTTCACTTCTGTGTTTGGTGTCATGGTAAGAACAGTGCAATCTGAGAAGAGCACATCTGATCCAGCCCTGCATCTGAACTGCTGTGTTTGTGTCCACAGATCATGATCGGAGAGGGGATTCTGTTCTGCTGTCTGTCCCGAGCTCAGTGTGGAGGAGGAGCTGAAGCCGATATCAACGCCGCCGGCTGCAACTTTAACTCTTTCGTCCGCCGTGGTGTCAGGTTTGTGGGTAGGTCACATTTCCAAGAGATCTCTTTTCTTCAATCCTGATTAGAATTCATTCTTTTTCAGGATATATGGAATGTGCATAATTGTGTGGCTAACATTCTATAATGTGTCAAATATGCAAATTCTGCCATCATTTGGGGCAGCACAGTGGTCGTTGGTGGTTCACTCCACCCAGGCTCGGCGCCAGGATGTCATAACTGAAGGGGCATTTTAATCCCATAGGGAGGCACGGAGACCTGTTGACTGATTTTGGCCCCTCTAGTTCCTTTCATTAAGGCCAGGGGTGTCCAAACTCGGTCCTGGAGGGCCAGTGTCCTAGAGAGTTAAGCTTCAACCTTAATCAAACACGCCTGAAGCAGCTAATCAAGCTCTTAGACATACTAGAAACTTTCTGGCAGGTGTGTTGAAGCAAGTTAGAGATAAACTCAGTAGGACACCAGCCCTCCAGAACCGAGTTTGGACATCCCTGATTTAGGCTATTTATTCACAATTATTATAACTTTGCATATCTGTCTAAGTTATTATACTTAGGCAGTAACAAACCTTTTTATAGGAATAATAATATGCACAGTTTTGCATTTACTGATTTTATCAATGAAGGTAATACAACGATATCATTTATTAACGCAGACAGATTCATTCTCTTGTTTTATTTCAAATAATAGGCCTATTAATGTTTAAAGTTTTAGGTAAAGACCTAAAACTATGCCCACACATGCAAGCTAACCCACGGTTAGACTATTCGTATAACTGGTAAATATAGTGAAATCAGCATAACCGTGTCATCAAGCTTTTTCATGTAGCCTATTACCCAACCAATATCAGCGTTAGGAAACAGTAAAATGTTACAATCTAATTGCATTTTATATATTTTTTTTTCTTTTTTTTTTACATTTTAATGCATTAGTGTAATCAGAAAAATTTAGCTATTACGGTGAAAATTACACGCAACTCATTAGGCTATATAACAATTGTTTTAATCATTTTAAAGGTAAAAATAAAGATTTATCTTAGGCTATCATAAGTGAGTTTTTTTCCTTGATATTGTCATTTATAACTGTAAACTTGACTTTGCAGACCGATCATCTTACACATTACAGTTGAAGTCAGTATTATTAGCCCCCCCTGAATTATTTGCCCCCCTTATTTTTTCCCTAATTTCTGTTTAATGGAAAGAATATTTTTTAACACATTTCTAATCATAATTGTTTTAATAACTGATTTATTTTATCTTTATCATGATGACAGTAAATAATATTTGACTAGATATTTTTCAAGACACTTCTATACAGCTTAAAGTGACATTTAAAGGCTAAACTAGGTTAATTAGGTTAACTAGGCAATATAGGGTAATTAGGCAAGTTATTGTATTGAAGCTTAAAGGGGATAATAATTTTGTCCTTAAAATGGCGTTTAAAAAATTTAAACTGCTTTTATTCTAGCCAAAATAAAACTAATAAGACTTTCTCCAGAAGAAAAATATTATCAGACATACTGTGAAAGTGTCCTTGCTCTGTTAAACACCATTTGGAAAAAAATTTTTAAAAAGAAAATACATTTCAAAAAGGGGCTAATATTTCTGACTTCAACTGTAAGTGTCCTAACTTGACTGCTGCTGCATGTTTCTTTGCAAAACTGTTAAAGTGCGCTTTGGAGATGTGAAAATGAAAGCAAACATTCAAAAGGGTTCTGTGTTTTGTCAGTTTTAGATTAATTTTAATAATATTAATAATAATAATGATTGTAATAAATTAAAATATGAATTATAGTGTAGATTACTGTGGGACTGTGCAGTGAACGAAACATTTTTATTAGGCTACATGTCCCCTAACTGAAAAACGTTAATGTGAAAAAGACTTGCAGTTGCAATTTTGCTGAAATTAATTTAACGGCAGATTTCTTCGGCGTTTTTTTCCCTGTTTGAGCTCAAGAGGGTAGTATATAAAGAATTAGTTTACGAAAACATGCAAGGAATTAGGCTGCTCATCTCATGTCATCCACTAGTCCAGTTTTCTCCAGTGTGAGTTGAGTGTGCCTCTGCCGCTGTGTACACGCTTTAAAGGTTATAAATGGGATTCTTTTAGAGATTCTTTCTGAGGGGGCAATGCCCTCCTTTGCCCCCCGAAGCGCCGGGCCTGATTTCGCTGTTGCAACCCCTGATAATTAAGGTACTAAGCCAAAGAAAAATGAATGAATGAAATCATAAAGGCGCTTATAATAATAGCCAAACCATTTTTACATTATTTATTTATTTTATTCCAGCTGAACTAAAATAAATAAGACTATCCAGATGAAATTATATAATTGGAAATACTGTGCCAACTGTCCTTGCTCTGTTAAACATCACTTGGAAATTCGAAATTGACAAAGATTGTCAATATCACAGGAGGGCGAATGATTTTCTCTTCAACTTTATAAAGAAGAGGTCATCAACATTAACATACTTCTAAGTATTTACCAGTTATTGGTGTATCTCATTTACTTTCATCTTTTGTTCAGGCGTTCATGTGTTTGGTCTATGTGTTACGGCTTTGATTACGGACATCATCCAGCTGTCGACAGGCTACCCTGCGCCGTATTTCCTGACGGTCTGCAAACCAAACTACACTCACCTGAACACGTCCTGCGAGGAGAGTTTCTTCATCCTGGAGGACATCTGTTCTGGACCTGACGCCGCGCTCATCAATGCCAGCAGGTACAGATCTGACTCTGCAGACCGGCAGCTAAAACAAGGATATAGACAAGCTGTTGAAAAAATTATGTAACTTTTTACTTGAAGAGGGTGTTTATAAGACTTAATAAGACATTCATTTGAAAGCTAATTTTTGTATACATGCTTATGACAACTGTCATTAAGTGTCATTTAGCTCAGTTAAGTCATTTTAAATGCAAAGATGACATTGTATGGGGTGTCTTTATGACAATTTGACATGCATCATAATGTGATTTTAACTTGAAATTACCAAGACAACGTAACTTAATAAGTTACCACAAATCTATCAGAAATGTGATTGAGATGATGCCATTATATATATATATATATATATATATACACACACACACACACACAACAGTTCTGTCTGGTTTTCAAATCTGATTGGCTGATAGCTGTGCGATATTCTGCAATATCAGAACTCCTACAGCCTCTTTACCCTTTGTGTATTACTCTGCCCACATACAGCCAGCAAAAAGCAGACACTACAGCTCTAAAGTTTAAAAGATGCACGCTCAACTGTTTAACTGTCAGCTTATTATTTGAATCCGGAAGAAAGTAGTTCCTCATACAAAAGTGTTTTTGAGACTGATTTTGTTTTTATATACACAATTATGTCGTCAAACTGTTGTATAAACGCAATATCACACTCGTAGCAGTGCGACATGGCTGTATATCGGCACTGGTGGGTGCACTAAGCCACTCGGCCTGCGGCCTCGTGCCAACGCACGCCTCCCACCAGTGCCGATATACAGCCATATCGCACTGCTACGAGTGTGATATTGCTCATATATATATGGCAGATTTAAGTCAATTACTTAACTAATTTCAAAGAGCACGTGATATGATTGTTCACAGCTGGTCTCTCATCTGTAGTTATTAGTAAGCCAATCGTATTATTCCAAACTCACTATAGCACTATTCCTTTATCTTCATTTTTTTAAAGAATTCCCACATCCACACCATCTCCTCTTCCTCCTTTACCATGGGGAGCTCTCGAGAACTACCTGATCTTGTACCCCCTTACATGCTCATTGACCAGGCAGAGCCCTGGGCTCAATTATCTCTGAGCTCAGGGTTTTCTCCCAGAATAGCATGCCAAACCTGGTATTATCATCAAGCAATATCTAAGTTTGAACTTTTATAATGCAAAGATGATATTGTTTGAGATGTTTGTTTGTTTTTTTCATGACAACTTGACATTACCAAGACAGCATAACTTAATAAGTTACTATAAATCTGCCATAAATGTAATTGTAATGAGGCCATTATAATATAAATGAATGAGATTTCTTTATGCATGCTTATGACAACTGTCATTAGGTGTCTTTAGCAGGCTAGTCAGTTTAAATGCAAAGATGTAATTGTTTAAGATGGCTTTGTCATCACAACTTGACATTATCAAGACAAGATAGCTTGTCATAAATCTATCATAAACATAACTGTCATAATGCCATTATAATTGTGTCATTAATTTTATAACAGCATCATTAATACTTTCTTGACCTCAAATACAGTGTTACAAATTTTGTGTCATTAAAATGTCATTAAATATTAGTCATGTAGTTATCAAAGTACTTGACAGAGTATTGACACTTTTAGTGTGAAATTTTAATAGCTAATTTTCTTTGCTCCACTAAAACAAATGAAGAGAAAAATATTTATGATTATTGTTATGATCACCAGCAATATAGCAGTTGCAGATCGCTGGAGAATCACAATTCTGCCACCGAAAAAAAATGACAGATCCCGCCATGCATCTCACACACACACCAGTTCCAGTTCTCTCCCTGATTGCACACACACACAGCAGAAAGCTCATCATAGGCTGATTGTCTGGACTTTTTAAACCTCTCACTTTCACACACTCTTTGCTGAGTCTTGTTTCTGTTTAGAGCATCACGTAAGTGTTATTGCCACCATCTAGCTCCCGGCTATTCCCCTTAATAACCAGTAGAGGGCGTCATCAAAGTATTAGAGATTCACCAAACTCCAAGTCCCATAATCCCGTTCTGATGCTGATTACTCAACAGCTGATAGTAATCCATACTCACACATATACAGACTCCCAACATCAGTTCTGTGTGAAGTCTTGTTTTGCCTGCAGACAATTCTGAGCATTTATCATTCTCCCAGACTGCTTTCCTGTTACTAACCTGCTTGTACTTTCGACTTTGATTTCTGCCTGCCCCAAACCTAGCCTCTTTCATTGCATAAGATTCTAAGCAGTCTGGCCTGACCATTGCCTGAAGACTTGTTTATGATATCTCTCTGTTTGCCTTGACCATGTTGCTTTGTTTGACCACCCTTGCTTCACTGCCACGTTTGCTGTCTCAGTGAGTTACCCTCATTATTCTGCAGTTTATTTATTGTGTGACATTAATAAAAGCTTGCAAATGGATCCACAACTCTCTGAGTCTACTTTACAGTTATCCTTGTCCTGCCTTCCTGTGTTTTTGACCTTTGCTTTGTTTTACGGTTTATGTTGTTTTGCTGCCTAACCTGACTAATTGCCTGCTTTTGACTATGCTTTTGGATTTCCTGTTTGACCGTTGTCTGCCCGACAATTCGCTCTTAAATAAAGCTGTGTTTTGAAAGACCTCTGTTTGCATGTGCAGCCTTGCCTAAGAGAAACAAGACTCAGCAAAGTGTGTGTGAAACTGAGAGGTTTAAATAGTGCAGATAATCAGTTTATGATGTGGAAGAGGAAGTTCCTAAGGAGGATTTATGGACTGAAGCGTGAACAAGGTGAATGGCAGATAAAGAATAATGCAGAAGTGGCAGACATGTATGCGAAGTCAAGCTTGGTCACAGAAATAAAGAGGCACCGTATAAGATGGCTGGGCCACTTAGAGAGACTCCCCGAACAAAGAGCTGTTAAAAGAGCATAGAAGCTAAAACTAGAAGGAAGGAGATATCCTGGTAGGCCACGGAAGAGGTGGATAGATGACATAGAATATGATCTACGTACCCCTAGAGTGCATGCTTGGAGAAAGCAGGCTTTGGGTTGGGTAGGCTGGAGAGGAGTGGTGGAAGAGGCCAGGGCTCTACACGGGCCGTAGCGCCCCCGGAAGAAGAATCAGTCTATGATGTGCATCTAGCTGTGTGCAAGCAATAAGGGAGAGAACTGGAACTGGTGTGTGTGAGGTGCATGATGGAACCGTAGTTCTTTTCATTGGCAGCTGCTAGATCGCTGGTAATTATAACAATTATAATGGTCTCATTGCAATCACATTCAGTCATGTTGTCTTGGTAATGTCAAGTTGTCATAACAAAAACAAAGACAGGTTATTATGCATTTGGAAATGTCAAATTGTCATAAAGACATCTCAAACAATGTCATCTTTGCATTTAAAATGACATAACTGAGCTAATAACACTTAATGACAGTTGTCATAAGCATGCCTACTATCTTATTCATGTTAATGACATGTATTAGGTCATGATTGTAAAGATGCCATTAAAGTTTTATGAACACCCCTTCAACTAAAGTGTTGCGAAAATATATATGAACACTACTCAAGTGTGAATTTGGGAAATTCAGGGATTTATACAACCTAAACAGACATGAGAGCTGATACAGCTCAGAAGAACAGCAGCTGTAGATTAAAGGAACAGCTTTTGATGTCCTTTTTAATAAGGTTGGTTTTGAAGGGAACGGACGTGGCTGTGAACCATCTCTGCACTGATGTAGATCCACTAAATAATAAAGTACTGTAGTGGCTTATGAATTTCTGAGTATACAGTATACTGACACAAATACAAAGATATGGTTTAGCCCATTTATGACTCCAGCTTGCTGTTGACTTCTTTTTTATCATACTGAGCTGTAGATCAGCGAGTATAATACAGTGCTTCAGGCTCTGAAAGTCTAAGTATGGTGGAAGCTCACAGAATCTATTCCCTAGATGTTTATATTTACTGTATGTCAGAGATAAATACTGTAGGGTGTCATATCAGTGCTATTTGTGGTGATATCCTGCTTATGACGCAGATGTGTAAGCTTATTAAGATGCAGACACATTTTAGGTTCACCATGGGAGTCTCTGAAAGAGCCAATAGCTATAGGCATAAACAGCTTCTCTCTATAACATTCAGATTAGTAATTACTAATCACACAAAGAGAAGAATGTGTTGCCTGCTGATAGTCAGACTGACTGTCAATATAAAATCGAGGTTACATAGTTTTGCACATTTTTTCAGTCGATTTCTGGGTCTGGCAGGAGCACTTTTATTTTAGCTTAGCACAGATCATTGAATCGGATTAGACTTAGCATCGCGCTCAAAAAAAAAATTCCAAAGGGTTTCGATAGTTTTAATAAAGCAGGTCTTTAATTTTAGCAGGCCTAAGGTACTGCTGACATGAAATTGTTCCAGATGTTGTTAAAATCTCAAACAATCTAAATAAAAATAAACCAAAAAGCAATTTTTTTTTCAAAAATTATGCAATGTGTAATAACACCCAAATGACACAATCGCAAGTATAGTTTCGATTTGCAATTTAATTTTGTAGTTAAGCTTCAGCTCAATAATCTGTATTGTAGCTTCTTACTGCTAAAATGCAGTGAGTAGAACTGAAAAGATATTAACTTATATAAGAAGACAACTTTGAAATTGTACTTGAAGACACTCCTCGTATAGCCGCCTGTGGTGCGTTTTTAGGTGCTGATTGTTGTATTTCCTTGTGCTGTGATAACAATTAACCCTTCGCTATGCCACGCCCAAAAACCGCCACCCACCAATCGTGGCCTAGCAACTGTAGCTACGCGCAGGGGCTCTGTCAAGCTTTCGAGCGAGTGCATATGGATTGTGCAAATCTGATACCCAGTATCCTTAAAGTTTGGACGGGATGGTGGAGTTTTTTCCCTTTTCAAAACCTAAAACCCAGGAGGAGAAATGCCAGTGAGGATCAAGCTGTGTGAGGGGCGCTAATGGAGCGGAGCCAAGTTAGTTTTTTTTTGATATTCCAGACACATTCAGACAGTGATAGACCCTAAATAGATCTAAACTGTGTTTCCTACAAAAACACAACGCTGGTTATGTTTCATTCCTTTTTTTCGCTTGATATTGTGAGTAATGCTCCGTTTAAGCCTTCGCCATAACGATAGTAACTTAGTCATACTTATAGCGAGTAGATCATAATGACATGAGTTATTGATCCGGAAAATACAAATCTGCGAATCTGTTTCTAACTTTACTGAGCTTCATATTTCCATCTATTTCAAGCTACGAATATTTGAAATTACAAATCAACAGAACAAAACCGAGATATGATCACAAACTGAGCACTTGCAATTAATATAATTTACCCCCAACTGATTTTCAGTTAATTATAAAGAGCACACAAACATACTGACAGTAATAAGTAACTTACTGTACATTGTTATGGGTCAGTGATGCTAATATTCGGCACAAATCCATCAGTTTTCCCTTACGGGCTGTTCTTTCTATGAATAAACTATGTAAAAGCACTGTCCATGCCCGTTTCCTCGTCGGTTAGTAAGGCTATATTTCATTGCAGAACAATTAATCTATCAGGCTTTTTGGCTAAAAATAGAGAACTCACGGTTTCATTTGTTATTAGTAAATTATTTTTAAATTTCACCACTCCTGCTGAGCATGAGCAAAGCTGTTGAATGGTTAGCATAAGAGCTAGGCTAAGCTAACATTATATCCCTGGCAATGTCTGACACCTGCGCACACACATTGAAAAAGCCGTGCCAGGCACGAAAGCTTGACAGGCGTAGCAACAGTAACTAAGGAGGGCGGGGCTTAGCAAAGGGTCCATTCTGTGACAGCTCTTACAAATTACCTGGTTTTGTTTGCTGACTGTGACTTTGAAACCAAGATATTTCCATATTACTGAAATGCTGTTTTTCTTTGATATTAATTTGTCTATTAATGCTTCTGAAGCGGCAGATGTCATCATCCCACTCGTTCGCGATTTCATGTTTGTTATTTACTGTGGGCTTTCCGCATAGTTTGGTTGCGGCTGAACGAAAGTGTTCTCACTCAATTGGCTAGTAAGACTGTCTATGGGTGGGGGATGTTGAATAATACTTCAAGGGTTCACACTTAGCTAATGATTGATTATAAAGCTTGTTTGGCATACTGTCCCGGGAGAGAGCCCTGAGCTCATAAGATCCTTGAGCCCTGGGCTCCCTCCCGTTTGCAGGGCAAGAGGGAAGTTTGAGCTCAGGTAGATCTTGAGAACTCCCCTGCTGTAGTAGTTAATGAATAGTTAGTGATTTTTCTAAGGGGTAACTACTTAGGAGCATGTCTATGGTGCAGATTTGGATTAGTCAATTAACTTAAGTAGCATGTTTTTGGACGGTTTGAGGAAACCGGAGAACCCTGGGGGAACCAACATGAGCACGGGGAGAACATGTTAACTCCGCACAGAAATGTTGACTGGCTTGGCAAGGACTAAAAACAGTGACGTTCTTGCTGTGAGGCAACAGTGCTCGGCACTGGACCACCGTGCCACACATCTAGGAAAAGAGGAGGAGTAGGGGTGGAAGAGGGGATTCTTCAAAACAAAGATGGCCTTGATTTAAAACTTAGAGCATTTATTGTAGCTTAGTAATCATCTGATTGGTGAATCATAAACTGGATAATGTGGGACAAGCTGCAAGCAATCATAAACACGTGATCCTCTCGAAATTAGTTTATAAATAAACAATTTCGATTAATCGCACAGCCCTATACTATAGTACTGAAATGTATTTAATATTTTGTATAAAAGGTGTTTGTTTTTGTTTTTTTTGGCAATGACAGCTTTAGGACACATCTTGTCTGGAGAATGGAGTCGCAAGCATTGATCAGAGTTTTAAAATCTTGACTGTTCTGTAGGTCTCAATTCTTATCATTAGTTATTTTCAATTTAATTCAAGTCAGCTGATTGGCTGGGCCATTCTAGTAGCTTTATTTTATTTTCTGAATCAAAATGAGAGTTTCTTTGTCTGTGTTTGGGGTCATTGTCTTGCCACATTATCATTTGATAATGTAGGTGTGTAGACAGATAATATTAATCAACACTGAAGCGGGGCAGCACTGCTGAATAACTCCAAGATTTTATCTACTGTCTGGGCTTTCCATGCCTCCATTTTCTCATGTGTTCAAGACATTTTCCCTGTGTCATCTTATTTTTATTACACATTGCCTAATTTCTCAAATAATTAGTTTTGATTTCTTTGTATGTATAATTTTTTTTTTGGTTGCTACAAAAATCTGGTGAAAATTTCAAGTCAACAACTAGCTAGAAATATGTTAGCTGAGAAAAATGGTGACGTATTTAATACCTTTTTTGTTTACCCGCTGTATAAAAGAGACATTGGCATGGATGTGCAATGTGTTGGAATATTTCAAATGCCTGCTTTCATTTATTTCAGAAAATCCTTCCCATCACAGCATGCTACGCTGGCATCCTTCGCTGCTGTGTATGTTTCGGTAAGTAAAAGTCTGTCATTGAGAAGAAAGCAGACGCCTTCAATTCACTGTGCTGTTAGAGACTAACAGACGGAAAAAAAAAAAATATGGAGCTGCACTGCTGTCACCTTCTGTGTGAATAGCTGACCCTGATGTGTGGATAAAAGGACAACAGCTCTCAACTGTAATTTGTGCCGAAACATCCACATACCGTCATGCACTTTAGAGGAGCTTGTCAAAGCAGCAAAATGGAGTGTTGACCCCTTTGAGTTGTGTTTTTATGCATTTGTCCATTCAAGTATGTGAATATGACTATTTGTATTTTTAGAAAGGCAACAAAATGTGACAAATTCTAGCCATTAAATCACATTTGGTCTCTTATGCATTAGTTATGTGAACAAGTCTTATGGGGAGCTCACACCGGATGCGGCTTGCGCAAATATATCGCGCTATTTGCACGTAAATAGACACATGAACATTTTGAACTTTCCTAAAGCACATAAAGCACAACTGCTCTCTTAATAAAACCCATGTTAGCCATTAGCAACAAAACTAGAGTCACCGGGCTGACAGATGCCCCGCCCATGATGCGAATCCGCATCTACTGTGAAGTGAATTTCACACGTGAATTAAGCAAATTTAACATGCAAATTAAGCGATTATTTACGCATGGATAGCATACGTGCATCCAACGTGCAATACACATTTAATTTGCACCACTTCATTCACACGAATCGCGTCATTCATGCTGCCTCATTCGCGCGATTAGCACCACAGGATATCTATTTGCATCTTTGCATTGACTTTCATCAAAGAATGCAAATTAACTTTATGCACAAACCTGGATTATCGCATAAAAGACTTGCGAGTAAAGCTGCGTTTCTATTCCAGTGAAAGCGAACAAAATCATCACTTTGTGAAAAACTGGCACTAAATATCACCAGTAAAAACGGAATTTACTGCAGTAGGAGAAGCTGTGTCAATCTTTTTTTCAATTAAAAAATTACTTGCACCTAAAAATAGGTGAATGGAAACATAGCTACTGACTTTCATCTAGTGTGAACGCATTATTAATAGAAATAAATTGCTGGTTGCAGTACAAATAATGACCACTGGTGGCGCAAATAATTAGGCCCTGTCTACATGAACATAGGTCACTGAAACTGAAACTCCTGTCAGGGTGAAGCTTTTCAGATTTTGGCTTGTCCACGATATTATTTTCTTTGTGTGATGACAAACTGTGTGCCGCGATCCCTGTTGTTTACAATACACGCGTCTGTGCAATGGCCAATGTAAAATGCTTTTTTAAGGCTTTGGATTGGCCAATATGACTTTATGGTTTGGAGTAGATCAACAACTCTTGCTTTAGCATGCTCTTTACAGTACTCAATAGGGCGTTTTTGCAATTTCATGTGAACAATTTTTTTTTAAAACTGCATGTGTGGATGATATATTTTTATTTTTTTGGAGGTAAGAAAATTTCTATTTACACAAATAACCGTGTACTTGTGGATGTGGCCTTAGTGTAAACTAAACCTCAAAATAAACAAAATCTTATCTATATAACCTAATTAGCCCATTCTTTAGTTTAGCTTAATTTAAACTTTAGTGTCGGTTCTGCTTGGTACAGAAAGGAAATTTGTCCTTAACACTAGACTTAAGACAACAACTGCATACATGCAACAATACAGCAATCACACAATAGCAATAACACTCATCAAGACAACAACATAAATTTTAAACCAAATTTAGCCCCATATATATTACTGCAGATCATTCTTTACAACCACCCCATTCACTTCAAACAGTGAGCCTATTTAAGACAACACCTGCTATTGGGATAAGTGAGTTTTTATAAGCATTTCTTCATGATTTAGGAATTCTAAACCTGCATCTTGATGGTAACATTTCAAAAACTGAGTGAAGGGGATGTGTGTATTATCTTAAAAAAAAATAATAATAAAAATAAAAATTATGTTTTTTTCCATAAAGGTGTCAAATAGAATCTGCAACGGATGTTGTTTATGAGCAGTTATTTTATATGTCTGATTGATAATTTACGATAATTTGCTCATCTGTTTAAGTGTTGTGTCATCAAACCATGAAACACTACTAATAATCTATTTGCCATATTTAAAGTCTGTGTACTAACATTAAAACTTCTCAATTGTGGAGAAGACTAAAGCGCTGACTTGCCTTCTTATAAATAGATTCTACATTATCATCCCAATTTAGTTTATTGTCAATAATTGTGCCTAAATACTTAACATTTGAGACCTGCTCTACTATTTTTCCATTTATAATAAATGTTTCCAAATGTTTTAAGTTTTAAAAAATTGTAGTGAACTATATAGCCCCTTTCAGAAGCTCAAGGCCATTTGATTAATAACATGGACCTAAAAACCATCTGTTGTTTGTAATAAGCTGATATATGTGCTTTGGCTTCAAGCACTTATGAATTTCCCAATTTAAATGACGTTACACCTTGTCTTTACAAGTACAGTCAGTCTAACAATCTTGAATCAGTAGATGCTGACTCAAGTCCCTGGGAACTATACCAACCATCTCACAACAGAGAAAACACACAAAAAATTATAATGCACTTCAATAGATTAGAGATAATGTGATCTATGATTTACTCAAATCAGCTGATTCAAGTGCCTTGTAGTTCATTAGTTTTTTTTTTCTTAAGTGTTTGAAAATTATTAGAATAATCAGTGTATGAAAATTTGCTGGCAGACTACCTGATTCTGATTCAGCTCGGAAAGCTCACATCCCCTTTTTCTTCTGCAGATGTACTTCAACAGCACGCTGACGGACTCATCCAAGCTCCTGAAGCCTCTCCTGGTCTTCTCCTTCATTATCTGTGCCATCATATGTGGACTAACCCGCATCATTCAGCACAAGAACCATGCCATTGATGTTTACCTGGGCTTCCTGCTTGGAGGGGGCATTGCTGTTTACCTGGTAAGAAGAATATAAGACTTAAATAATAGTTTTTAGTGGCATTTTAGAGCAATTTCAGCAGGTTAAGTGTCTTTGTAGTGCACATTGCTTATATGTCTAAAACATAAACAGAAATTCATCCAACTAGGACTTGTTCCTGGAATGGATCATTGTAAATTTTTTAACAATATCCCAATCAAACATTTACAAGGTGAACTCTAAAATAAGAAGCAATCCGAATTTTTTTTAATGCTTCAAACTCCAGCCGTAAGTCTAACCCTAGAATTGGATTAACTGTCTATGGCTGCATTTATAATGATAATGCCCCTCATCCAAACTTGCATTTCTTTTGCATTTCAGACTAAAAAGTCCTTAACAGATTATACGTTTCCATTCACGATCACTAGACATGCATATTTTGCTGGTGTCCATACTTGGTGTCTACTGGTTGTGTTATGGTAATATGGAAAGGCGTTTGATAAATAAGAGAACAATAATGTAATGTAACGCAATGTGTATTTATATATAGGGCATTTATTGTGTATGACCATAGACCCAAATCTCTTTACAATCATGAGGAGGTCTCTCCACATCACCACTAGTGTGCAGCATCCACTTGGATGATGCGACGGCAGCAGGCGCCAGTGCACTCACCACACACTAGCTATTGGTGGAGTGGAGAGACAGTGATAGAGCCAATTGGGTGGATGAAAATGATTGGGAGGCCATGATCGAAAGGGCTGTTGAGTGACTTTGGCAAGGACACCGGAGTTACACCCCTAATCTTCACTCTTTGCCATGGGATTTTTAATGACAACAGAGAGTCAGGACCTCGGTTTAACATCTCATCCCAAAGACCGGACAACACAGTAGTGGAGAAGACCAGTCAGAGCGTGATTGTAGATAGCCATACCTCTAAATTCACATGTTTGCAATTTGGTTCTTCTATACTGTAACTGAACACCAGCATTTTCAAGCTAAAACCGAGTCTTTAGCATTTTCAAAACCCTCTATTTATGTGGGTCGAATATACTGAGCAGTGTGGACACCAAATGGAACCGTATCAAAATGTATACACTTTAAAACAAGAACGCACCAGTGTAAACGGCACCTAATCCCCAATTCTGTTGTAATTTCCCTCAAATTAGAATCAAAAAATTATCATACCGCTTTTTTTGAAGTGGGTTTCCAAAAAAAAAAAAAAAAAAAAAAAAAAACGGGATAACTTTCTCCTACATAAATATAATTGAGATGTTATCGCCAATGGCCTAGTGGCCAGTGCGTCAACATATAGTGCAACTGTGCTACGGGAGTTTTAGTCCCAGTTTTCAGATCCCATTCCCTCCTCTCTCTCTCTCACCAACTTCACTTCTTGTCAATATGTCTAAATAAATCTTCTTAAAAAGTGTTTGAGACAGTATCACCGCTCCACATGCTTATCAGAGGGGTAGGGAAAAGATGAGGCGAAAGGAGTAGAACTGGGATTTGGCGTAAGATGTTCCAAGCCCCAAAGCAATGTTGATCCAGGAACATGCACCACTTATAAGGTAAACATAAAAATTGAGAAATATCAATCAATGTTGTGTTTTGTCCGTCCAGGGTTTGTTTGCAGTAGGAAACTTCCAACCAAGCAAGCAAAAACAGACAAGTCAGCTTCACGTCCGAGATCCTCAACGAGCCATGGCTGAACTGTGCCAGCAAGGTCACCACCTCCCTGCAAAGAGCTGCAGCAGCACCGACGGCCTCTCGTCTTCATGCTCTGAGGGAATCCTGCACCGCAACACTCAACACCACCAGACGGGATCCCGTAGTGGAGATGTGGAGGTCATCTCTTCCCGCAGTCCTCCACACAAGGACAACATGGTGACTTTCAACACCTTGCCCAGAGTACATACGCCTGCAATGGATGAGTCTGCCTACCGAAACGCCACCATCCACACCTCCTCTGTGGACTCCAGTAGGTCCAAGCAGCTGCTAATGCAATGGAAGAGTAAGAATGAGAACCATAAACATTCCCTGCACGCCATGGAAGGTGGACAAGCACAGTCCCCTCCACACAGCATGGACGTCCGCTGCAATTCTGAACCTTCGGCAGTGGGAATGAATGGTGAAAATCAGGGCCCTGGAACCCCATACTTAAAAATGGCCACCGGAAGTACAACTCTACCAAGCAACCCAAGCGGGATTGCTGGCGGTGCTCGGATACCCATGCAGCCTCGGCCTGGCTCTTCACAGTTGGTCCACATCCCAGAGGAGACGCAGGACAACATTGGTGGTTTGCCAAATTGCAGTAACTCCCGTGACAAATGGATGAAGAGCATGGAGAGGACTGCGGAGAAGGGTGGCGAGGTACCAGTGGTTAGGACTAACTCTAATGGCCAGCCACGCATCATGCAAGTGATTGCGATGTCTAAGCAGCAAGGTCTATTGCAGGGAAGCTCTCCCAGTTCTGAAAGCAGCAGCCACACCAGCTCCACTGCACCATTACAACGATACAAGAGTCTAACTGAGGATTCAGGAGTTCAAGGCAGCACTGGAGCAATTATCCGGGTGGAAGCTCATCCAGAAAATGGCCGACCCTTGGTGCATGCGCACTCCACAGATGGAAGTGGCTCCTGGACGTGGAAGTCCCAAAGCAGCTTTAGACAATCATTTGAGCTTAATGACTTGAATCGAGACTCGGAGAGCTCAGAATCTGCGAGGGACATGAACAGTTCTACGGACAGAAAGAGCTCTAAAGACAGAAAGAGGAACGGCTTGAATGCACCTAAAGCTGTGGCTGTGCCAACGGTCCCGACTGTTCCAATTGTCTCCACAGCAGGTGGTGACCACCATCCCAACCAGACCATCTCCACCATCCGCGTCACTCCGATGGAAATGACTGAATCCGGTCCTGGAAGTGATTCCAGTTTGCGCAGGAAAACCAGGATCCTCATCCCTGAACGAGGAAACAGCCCAGATAACACCAGGAATATTTTTTACAAGGGAACATCAACCACTCCGGTTTTCAAAGAGTAGTCGGACATTATCTCACCAAAAACAAACAAATGAAGAAACTAGAAGAGATTGTGTTTTCACGTAGACACATTTGCTGTTTTACACGTCTCCGATGACGTCACTTGTTATGCATGAGGTTATTCACTGACTTTTTAAATACATGTAAGACAGCAAGAAAAGCACAAAATCCAGGTTTTGGTCCTAATTCTGTTTACTATTGTGATAATGACATTGACAGCTTATCACATGGAAATGGTCTTACCTTTGTGACACTGTGAAGCTGGAACTGTGCCAAGTTTGAACTGCAACACTGTTTAAAGCATTCAACATCTCAGATATACTAAAAGATCTTTCCTATATTCATACTGTACTTTCATATCACAAACTCATTCATACAATAGTAACTATGCTAGCTGAAACTCTTATTTTTATATAATGTAAATAACTTTTAACCTTGGTGCTGCCCAATTCTGAGAACATTATGTAAAAAAAGGAGAAGTTAGGAAAAAAACATCTTAAAGTATAGAAAAGAAATCTGTTTTCCAGTTTGTGCTGTGCACTCCTCTGAAAACTGTGTCATTTGAACTTTCTAATGACCGTAAGTGCTTAGAACATTTTCTGTAGCAAACAATAGTCATAAAATGACATGCACTTCACATTTAGTACATGCAATACAATAACTTTACGTGTCTGTAGGAATTTGTACGTATAAGTAGACACATGAAAGAGTCTGTCATGTAAACAGTGATATTTTATATATCCAAATGTCAAAAATAGAAGAAAAGTTCTAAGAAGTTACTCACGTACAAATACCAAGGAATGCTAATCTTCCAACATAGGCTCATTCTTAAAGCGTAATAATGTATACATTACTGGAGATCGCAAATTATATAGCCAAAAACGAACACTTCGGGGTGGTATTTTGCCGTTCCTTTTTACGCTAACCAGCTGACCGCTTACCTACATATGGATGGCTTTCCTGCTGTTACCAGTTCGTCTAGTAGCTTGCAATGTACGTCGGAGGACTAGAGACACAGGGAGGAGTTGACCTTAATGTCAGGGTTCGAGTCTGGCGAAGAAAGATTCCAGAAAGCAAGTAAGATAAAAACAGAAGCCAATAAACAAGTAAATAACAAGGTGAGAATGTTGTAAACTCTGAAAAAATGCTAAAAATCTGGGGCTTCATGTATCAATGGCACGTACGCACAAAAATTTTGCGTACGCCAGATTTCATGCTGACGTTTGGATTTACTAAAGATTAAATGAACGTGAGAATGTGGATTGGTCCATGCCAATTTCATGCCTGGCGTACGTGCATATCTTGTGTGTGTTTGTTTTTTTTCCATTGGCGACTCCTAGAGGAAATTGTGTTAAATTGCACACTACAAAGTATCTTTGAGCCGTGCAATGGCAGGTTTATGGGACGGGATCATCCGCATGTCTAGCAGGTATATAAAGTTTCCATACCATGCAGTTGACCAGCCAAACATTAAAGCGCAATTTGCAGCGATCGTCGGTTTTCCCAATGTAATCAGAGCGATCGACTGCACACATATTGCTATAAAGACACCACCTGAAGACGAATTTGCATACTTGAATCGGAAACATTTTCATTCAATAAATGTGCAAATAATATTTGATGCTCAAATGCACTTAACATAACACACACACTTATTAATGATTCCTACTTGTCTTCTTCGTGATGAAGAGTAGGCAAAATCTAATATGCAGTGGGGGAAAAAAGAAGAATTAGTTCATCAGGCGCTGGATTCTAATCGGGTTTATGCTCTATAGTGTCAAAACATGTTGCCGTGCACTTTACGAGCTTTGTCATGCAAACGGTGATGGGTGGGAATCATTCAACTAGCTCATTCCAACAAGGTGCAGTTAGCCTAAATAGATACTACAAAGTTTTGCACCTTTACATCGGACCATTTCTTTTTTAATTCGCTCACAGTGCGATGTTCAGGCCCCACTGCGTTAATCATGTCAGCTAATCTCTTCCACTATTTTTTTCTTTTGTTATTAATTCTGGAGGACAAAGTTGCAGATAGCGCTGTTTTTCTCTGGTCTACCTCCGAAAGGAGCTTCTCCAATTCACATTCTGTTCATAGTTTCTCTTTTTGCTTGCTTTTGGCATTACTTTTTTGTTTGGTTTTGCCAAAGTAGAGTCATTACCATATTCATACAGGGGAGGAGGCAGGGAGGGGGTTTTGATTGTGCGCTCAATTTCATGTTAATTCGGATGTACAAAGAGAATATGCGTGGGATTCCGCGTACTCTAAGTTTCATCTGATTTTTTTTTACTGTGTACGCACATTTACAGCTTTGTCCGTACGCAATGTTTTAGTATGAATTTAAGTCTTCATACATGAGGCCCCAGGTAAGGGCTTTTCTTTTTCTGGATTACTTTTTAAAACTGTCGATTGGGTTTAGAAAAGCGGGTGGGCGGGTCAATCTGTGCTTTTGAAAACAATATTGGTTGGTTTTTGGGAAGGAGGAGATTGGGTCAGTCAGTCAGTGAACAGCGGCCTCTGGTGGATTTACGTGAGAACAGCAGGCGCAAATGGCACTCGCGATCAAAAACGGCAAAAAAAAAGTACCTCCTGAGACGTATTTGGCACTCTCCAGAAATTTATATATCGGTACGTGTTGGGTTTAGGGAAGGAGGAGGATGGGTCAGTCGATCGGTCAGTCAGTCAGTCGACAGCGGCCTCCGGTGAATTTACGTGAGAACAACAGGCGCGAATGGCACTCTCAAGAGAAATTTGAGATCTGAAAAAGCGTACACAGTGGCCTCTGTGGATTCACGAAAACAAAAACTCCAAAAAAACGTACCTCCTGGGACATATTTGATGCTCTCCAGAAATGTATATAGCGGTACATTTTCAGAATGAGCCTGGGTTGTAATCTTTCATCATGACTACTAAGGAAAACTGTGCAGCTAATCTTCCACTCTTCTCAAATGTATCATAGCATAATCTAAACTGACTTTTTTTCCTACAGATAATTTTAATTGTATTTCATAGATATTTTGAGATTAGCTAAATTAGTAGCAAAACAACACTCCACATTAATTTTCTGTGGTTATTCCACTGTGAGCTCCAGCTTTTTAGGCCAAACAGTCATATAGTAAATGTTTTATATACACTTGTGTAACCCACAAAAAAATGTAAAAAAAAAGAAAAAGGCTTTACTGTTCAAAAATAGATTTGCAATGAGCAAGACGTAGCTCATCAAATCTAGTGTCATCTTAGCTGTTAAAAGCGACAGCAGATTCCATGTTAATGAACTTTTTATAACCTGTAAATTAATCTGCCAAAGCGTATTTTAAAAGGAAGATTCTGTTTTGGAACATTTCTATAGAACTCTGTATTCTTATACACCACAGACTCTCTCAGCACAGCTGTAGCCAATGCATGGTAGTTTGATATATCACATTTATTTTTGGTTTCCTTTTTTTGTAAATGATGCATTTGTGTAGCGGCTGCAAGTTTGATTATTTATACTGAATATAAACTACCTGTTGACAATCTTTATAGATGAAGTTCTTTTCAAATCACACCAGAATACACTGTATGTTATCTCTAAAATGTCAAGAGATTGTTTGGATACCTGTTAATGTGCGCTCATCATTTTAGAAATGCATCAAGCATGCTGGTAGCAGTGTGTGTTTTCTGAGGAACGTTCTGTAGCACTTTTGTGTAACTGTCATCGACAGATTCGGTTTGAATAGGAATGAATTTACAGTGATGTTATGTGTTAATGTTGCAGCGACCTGACACTGAGAAATAAGGTCAAACTCTGTTCATGTACGTCACCTCTGAGGATTATAGTTTGTTTCGAACATGAAATAGTTCTGTTTTACTCTAGTAACAGGGTAGATGAAGAAAAAAAAACTGTGCTGTATCAGTGTTTGAATAAACATTTGCCATTTAAAACTCTTCAGTCTTTGGTCATCAACATTTTTAATAGTACCCTTCACAAATATGCCAATTAGCCATAATTAAAAAAAAAGATGATAACTTTTGAATGGTTTCGGAAATGATACCATTATATGTGTGAACTAAAAAAAAAATATTTATTTTAGTCCCTTTATTAATCAGGGGTCACCACAGCAGAATGAACCAACAACTTATCCAGCATATGTTTTACACAGCGGATGCCCTTCCAGCCGATACCGAGTACTGGGAAACAACCATACACTCTCATTCACACACATACACTATGGCCAATTTAGCTTATTTAATTCAGTCTTTGGACTGTGGGGAAAAAAAAACCCAAGCATCTGGAGGAAACCCATGATTAGGGAAAACATGCAAACACAGAAACACCAACTGACCCAGCCGGGGCTCGAACCAGCAATCTTCTTGCTGTGAGGCGAAAGTGCTAACTACTGAGCCACCATGTCACCCTAACTAAAGAAATATGATGTCTTATGTATGCTTTTTATATATTTATTTATGAAAGACATCACCATCTACTGCCCCGGCATGCAAAAAAGTGTTTTAGTTTTCCTGGATCCAAGATATTTATCCCCCCCTGTACTGTTAAAAATAAATAAATAAATAAATAAATAAATAAATAAATAAATAAATAAATAAATAAAATAAATGTTGATCATTCTAACGTATTATATTATAAAAAATTTAAGTCAAACAGGTTAAAAAAACTGGTTTAAAAAAAATTCTCTCTTCTGCTAACTGTCAAAAAATTGTATGATAGTTGCCATTTTTTGGTAAATTATATTGTTTTGATGCTTGAACACCAATTTCGTCTTTAACCTAAACATAGCAGTTTAATAAAAACTTTTTTTTAAAAAGTAAAAAAAAAAAAAAGCAAATGAATAAATAAACATAAAAAAAAAAAATTTATATATATACCCTGTAAAAAAAATTAAGAATTTTACGGCTTATGGCAGCTGGGGTGCCGGAAAAAAAACATAAAATAACGGCTGTTAAATTATAGAAATTTACCGTAAAATTACTGACATAAAATTACAGAAATTTCCTTAAATTTAAATTTCTGTTAAATTTCTGTAATTCAACCTCTAAAAAAGTAAAATAACAGTTGTTAAATTATAGAAATTTACCTTGAAATAACCAAGGTAAATTTCTGTAATTTAACAACTGTTATTTTACTTTTTCCGGCACCCCAGCTGCCGAGAAAATAACCGCAAAATGATGTATTCTTTTACAGTGTATATATGCATCGTAGGATAGTGTAGCGTGCATCTAATGTGCACTTCCAAATATCACCGGAAAGAGTAAATCATCCAGATACTTCTCGCATACTGTTTTTCGAATTCTATGAATACTGTTTTTAGTGTTCGATATAATATAAGCCCAGGCAGCAGCTAAAATCTCTCAGTAGTTATTCAGCAACCCTCTGCACTTCGCAATTGTAAATGAATATTAACTGCTTTAGTCCAACATCTACATTATCAGGATAATGAAGATGAAACAAGAGTGGACACTTCAGCAAGACAATGATCCAAAACACAGCCAAGGAAACTCTCAAATGCTTTCAGAGAAAGAAAATCAAGCTCTAGAATGGCCCAACCAATCACCTGACTTGAATCCATCAGAAAATACAAAATGAAGGTCAGATTTGACAGACGAGACCTACAGAACCATCAAGACTTTTTTTGTTTTGTTTTATGTTTGTATTTTTACCAAAATCTGGTTCAATTCCATGTCAACAGCTCCTTTAGAAATATTATTGTCAGGAAAAAAAAACATGTCCAATACTTATTTTTTGTATTATATTCAATTAAACAGATTATGACAATACATTATGATGGCCTATGAAATACATCAAGACTACAGAAGTGGGAAAACTGGATAATTATTTGTCCCATATTCATGAAAATTTCTTAATGCATCACTGGAGTTCTAAATATGAATCATTTTGATATGAGTATGATTTTCCTGTAAGCAGAAAACAGTCAACAGCCAAACAAACACAGCAGACTGTGAGTTAAACAAAATCTGACTGTTTTCAAATGCAAAACCAGGGTATAACCAGTTTAAATAAATTGTTGCCTTTGGTCTTTTGTCCATCCTTGAAAATAAACTGAAAATTAGCATGGTCAGATAACTCCCATCCCTTCCCATATTCATCCTATATCTCTTGCATTAAGCAAACCGAAGCTGGCATAAGGCGCTTTTTACATTGCTGTGCATTTAATGAGGATGTTTTAAAAGAAACATTAATTTCACACTAGATCAAGAACACGCATCGCCATGCAAACACACACAA